CTAAGGACCAGACGATTTTTATTATGTCCTGATACGTAAAACCATAGAACTCAAAGAGGGTCTACTTTCTTTTTCACACGACTGTAGCTCTGCTTCAGTCATGGGCTTGTTTCCTCTTGTTGACTTTGAGCCAGGCCTGAAAGAACTAAGAGTTGGGTAGATATTGGAACTAGCTTTTGTATCTATTTATCTCTGTGTCTATCATGCTAAAAATGTTTAAGTACTGCATAAATCCAGTTTTTCTCTAAAGGTCTGTTAATTTGGGGTGAAGTTTTTCCCCACAGCTTCAAAATTTCTAGAAAGTTTACATCTGGCTGTGCTGAACATTCATAAGATACCAGCGTAGTTCTAGTCAGTTTTATGAAATGAAGTGAATGCAATTTTGCTTAGCCATTTTCAGTAGTCTAGGTGGTCATAAGAACCAAATCTAAGGCATGGCTTATTTATCGTTAGTTAATTATTTAGAAATTCTGTTTACCTATCTGAATCTTGAATGACTATTCATTCTTATCAAATTTGTAGAGGTGAAAAACTTAACTTGGATGCCTCCACTGTCTATTTCAAAAAGTAAACTGGCCAAGATTTTTTAACAACATATTTTATTTTTTTCAGGAATGTTCAGAAGGAAGATCGTGGACCCATGCTTGATGAGTATAGAGAGTACAAGAAAGTTAAAGCTAAACTGCGTCTTCTTGAAGTCCTTATCAGCAAACAAGATCCATCAAAATAAATTATGTTTCTTCATAACAATGAACAGTTGTTTTCATATGCTGCCCATAGTACTGTTAGGGGTACTCTTTTGTCTTGCGTTGTTGAAAGAATGCAGTTTTTGTACACTTTAGAAGGGCAGGTAGGTCCTATCTAGAGAGTTAATGAAAAATTTTAAATTGAGACTCGATCTGCCCAACTTTTACAGTTTTTTTCTCATTTTTAAAAAATTACAAATTAATCTTGTTCTCAAAAGACTTTTATTCTAGAATCATTCAAAAACTTTGGACCTGCTAACTTGGTTTCATCTACATTTATTAGTATTACACTGAACTCCTCTGTTGCCTTTTTAGTATGGAAAACAATGGCAGCCAATTAAGCATACTCCTGAACACCAAAAAGGAGCTGAAACGCCTTTCAGAGGACTGCTGTGGAATAACTTTGATTGCAAATGGCATCTTTCATATATAGAATGATCGACGGATATTGAAATATAAAGTATGTTCTTCAGTTTCAGATGACAATGGACAAACCAGAAAGTGACCTTGCTTGTTGTATTTTTAAAACTTGGAAAAACCTGAACATTTATATCACATATTGCCTAGAAGACTTACATTACTGTTAATTTCTATTTATTGTCTACTGGTGACAGTGTGTGGTCTGAATTGGAGACTGCATCTTACCCTTGTGTTGGTGCTCAGATTCATACAGTTCAGTAAGCTTACACCACTTTTGCTGTATCTGAAATAAACTTATTTTACCAAGGGCTACAATTAATGTAATTAATGTGTTGGACAAAATGGACAGAGCTAGCTTTGAAAGAAGCCTTTCTACTTCCATTCACAGAAATGGAAAGAGAAGTGATCCGTCTCACGCAGGTATCATACGATTTTTGCATGACAAAGCTTCAGAACCAAGACCTTTTTCTTTCTGATATTTTCTTTGCCTAGTATAAATAACGCAACAGCGGCTACTGTTTTTCTTTTAAATCTGCACTCAAAAATCCTTCTAAATGACTCGAGTACCTACTATGAGATATAGTTCAGAGGAAAAGGGCTTATATGGAATCCCTTTGCACGTAGGTCCTGCATCTGTGGTTTGACTGGACTGAGTCCTAAGTGTTGAATACCTTCCGGATCTATTTTGTCTTGTGGCCATGTTTTTGCATGTGCCTATTTGCTGCATGTGTTACGAACAGCTAATGCCAACACAAGTTGTTTTTCACTGCTTTCTGAAAGACCAGAAAATGAACTTAGCGAAATAAATGGCATGTAAACTCATCAGATTGATGTGTTAACATGTAATAGGTAGAAAGTAGATTTTAGAGACTCCATACTTCTATTTGTTGTGTTTCTCATTTTTATTGTAATTCTAGGCATGTAATTTTGGAACCCAAAAACAAACATTAAAATGAATTTATACTCGGATGCTTTGCCTTTTTATACAGCCTGAAGGGTTTTAGTGGACTATAGTGAATTACAATATTGGGAATTAATCTGGAGATTTTCCGTGGCTTTTGTTCAACTTCATTGTACAATGTACATTTCAGTTACTTTCCCATCAATCTGCAAACACTGGTGCATCAAACATCAAAACCTATGTGTACTGTATAGTGTTGTACATGAATGTTTTATATACCACATGCAAAATGTCAATATGCACTATTTAAATGTTTTAAATAATATATTCCTCCTTTATAATGCTTAAATCTATATGATCCCAATATTTTTATAAAGTGAGTGATCAAACTGGTTCCACTTCAGAATCAACAGCTGCTTTTGTGTGTGTTTTGCAGTGTTTGGCTGTTTGTAGCACGCATGGCATCAGTTATGCTAAGAGTGTGTGTTGTGCCATCTTATTGAGCAATAAATGGTAGAATTAGGCTTTTGTGATAACACAGTTTTACTTTGGTATAAGTAAAAACTATATGTGGATG